CTCCTCGCCGCCCCGCGCCTGCTCTGTGCCAAGCCCACGCCACCGGCAGGTGAGTGCCCAGTGCGGTGCCGCTTGTGCCAGGGGCAGGCGGCGCTGCGAGGCGCTTCTCCCACGGGACACGCTCCGAATGCGCCGATGCGGATGGGAGGAGCAGGGCGGGAGGGGCCTGGGGCAGGCTGTGGCCCTGCTGGGGCAGCGGGACAGGGCTGGGGCAGTGCCAAGCCCCTGGCACCCCTGCCCCGTGTCCCTGCGGGGGTACTGCCCCCAGGACAGCCCGCTGAGCCCTGCCCCGGTCTCCTTCAGAGAAAGCCGGGTATTGCTCTCGGCAGCCGCCCCTCGGCGGGGTGTTCGACGAGGAGCACTGCAGCGCCTGCCTCAAGGACCAGTCCTGCTCCAACTGCTCCAGCGATGCCGACTGCCCCGGCGAGGCCAAGTGCTGCCCGGGCGACTGCGGCTTCACCTGCCAGGCCCCCGTGAAGGGTAAGGGCGCTCCCTGCTCGCGCTGCCCGGGGAGGCAGGCTCCAGGTCCCAGCGCCGGGTGCAGGAAGCTGGGCTGAAATGGGGGTTCCCCGAGCTGTGCGCCCCAATCCGGGGCAGGGTGCGATGGGGCCCAGGTTCCCAGATGTACGCGCTCCTCGGGGCACGGGCTGCTGCAGCTGGGGCGGTGCGCCAGGGAGCGGTGCCTGCGGTGTGCATGGACCCGGAGCGCTGAGCAGGGAGGGCTCCTCTCCTGCGTCTTCCTGGGCATCTCAGAGATGCTGCCTGGAGACATCCCTCCCCCGGGGGTCGGGGTCCCGCTCTGCTCTCCCCAGGGCATCCCTTGCTCCATTTCCAAACCAGCTCTCATGGCATCCTATGACGCGTCCTAGCACCAGGCTCCCTCGGGAAGGCAGGGGCAAATTGCAGGGGGTGGAGGTGGCGGGCTGCTGCCCTGTCGCTCCCAGTCTCTGGGAAGTAGATTCACCTCCAGAGGCAGAAGCATCCTCCCCCTACCCAGCTGGGACAGGCCCCTCGCTGCTCAGGCTTCAACTAAAGGCCTTGTCAAGCCAGTGTCCAGGTCTTGCTGCCCACGAGAGGCAGCCCAGGGCAGGGGGCTGGTCTGTGGAGAGGGGGCACAACCATTCCGCTGCAAAACCCTGAGCCCCAGGGCTGCGCCTGCACCGTGGCCATCGGGGCGCCTGCTCCCAGACACCTGCGAGAGCCGGGAAGTCCTGGGCTGGCAGCAGTTTTGTCAGGAAAACCAGGCTGTTGGCTCCTGTGGTTTTGCCGCAGGGAGACCCGGGTCCCTTCGCGAGGGGGGCTGAGCAGAAGGTGCCCGGCGCAGCAGGGAAGGAGCGGGCGGAGGGACGAGGTTCCTGCTTGCGAGAGCAGAGGACAGGCTCCGCTTCCTCCCCCGGTCCCCTCCTGCCTGCCGCCCAACCTGCCCGCCTCTCCCCCAGACTTCTGCCACCTGCCCTCTGTGTGCGGCAGCTGCAAGGCGCTCTTCGTCCGCTTCTTCTACAACTCCTCCAGCCGGGCCTGCGAGGAGTTTGTCTACGGCGGCTGTGGCGGCAACAAGAACAACTTTGAGACCAAGGAGGACTGCTCCCAGGCCTGCCAGCACCTGGGTAAATGCCTGCACGGCGCCGGGACCAGGGCTGCACCCAGCTCTGCTCCACGGGGGCTTCCCCCTGCAAGGCAGGGCCGCGGCCGGCCGAGCCCGGCACCCCCCAGCAGACAGAGTCCCGGGTCTGAATGGCTGGAGCAGAGCTCGCGGAGGCCAGCTTTGGGGTCTGTGCTGCACCCCTGCTGCACGCCAGGTCTCCGGGCTCCCGCTGCCTCTCCCCAGGGTGCCCCTGCCTGAGGGAACAGCCCGCACCCAGGTCCCGACAGCCCATCTACCCCGGCCAGGCAGGGCGGGCAGGTGCCAGCCTCGCGCCCTGTCCCAGCTCAGGGTGAAAATGAACTCATTCCTATCCAGTGCATAAGAGATTGCAATCAAGGCAGGGAAACTGAGGCACAGACAATTGCACCTGGCCCCACCCTGCATGAACGCAGGCCCCGGCCCCACCCTGACTGCTTTGTCTCCGTTTCAGACGCTGCTTAGCCTGTCCAGAGCAGGGAGGGGAGGAGGAAGCCGCCCTCCCGGGTGACCACTGCGCTAGGCAAGACTCGCAGCCCCCCCCGGGGCCGATACGGCGGTCCCTGCCTGGCCGGCGTCCCAGGTCTCGTTCTTCCGGACTCTGCAACGAGGTTTCACCAGTGGCTGCTGCACTGCCAGGCCCAGCCCCAGCCCCAGCCCCAGCCCCGAGGCGCTGGCTCCCTGCCCGTTCTATAGCTATGAAGGTCTCTGCGCGGCGCAGCCGTGCTCCGCACAGGGAGGCACCTGCCCAGCAAGGGGAGCGGGACCCTGCCCGCGACCAGGGCACTCTGTGCTGCTGGCTGCAGCCCGGGCACGGGCACGCACGGTGCCAGCCTGGCCCCCTTCCCCGCAGAGGGCCCAAGCTGCTAAATATACGGACAGGACGTGCCAAACCCTGCTCTGGGCCTTGTCGCTGCAGCCTGCGGGGAGATCCCCCAGCCCGTGGGGAAGGGGGCAGCAGCCAGGTGCTCGCCTGCCTTTGCCTGGGCTCTGCCCCTGCTGCTGGGGCTCCAGAGCTGGTGGTGGGGACAGGTCAGCCCCGGCCTCTTCCCCTGCGAAGCCCCGATCACGACAGACCTGACGCTATGCCAGCGTGACGCCTCTGCCAGCTGCGGTGCAGCCGGTGCTACGCGCTCTCACGAGAGCACGTAGCTTCCCTTGAGGCCCCGGTGCTCAGGGTGCGACGGAGGTGAGACACCCTTGGCTTTCTTCTTGAAGAAGGACATTTCCAGCCCCCCGACTGGAGAGAAAAGCCCCTGGCCTGTGCTATAAGATGGGCAGCCCACCGGCAAATGCAGAGCCCAGCTGGACTGGGGCATCTGTGAGGTCTTGGGGCCAGTTCTGCATTGGAAACCTCCCTCAGCTGCTCTCAGGCCAGCTGGACCCGGAGCTTGGCCAGGGCAGGCCACTGGCTGGAGACAGGGAGCCCTGACCTGCAGTCTCAGCTGTGCCACTGACTGCTCTGCGCCCTTGGTCCTGCCACTTTGCTGCTCCATGCTCCCTCCGACTGGAAGCCGCCTGGGTACAGCCCCAGCACACGCCTGTTCATCCCCACACAAACAGGGCTCAGTGCTGGTGTACTGCAATCCCCCCCTGCCACCCTGACCCTCCCCCTCAGGGCTTTGCAGCAGTACAGCTCGGGGGGCACCGCAGCGCAGCGTTGCGCCACAGGGCAGAGAGCCCAGGAACTGCACCTGCACCCGCACCCGCCTGAGCCGATCTAGAGGGAGCGGAAAGGGCAGGAGGGCATTTAAAGGGCTCTGTCCTGCCCCCCCACCTGGGAGGGTCTATTCAGAGGCGGGGGGTGCAAAAGCCAGTTCATGGGCGTGTGGCGGGGGGAAGAGAGCTGGCAGACAGCATCTGCTCTGCTCTGCTCTGCTGCCCAGGGTCGCCCAGTCCAGTCTGCGCCTGGCTGACGTGTCCTGAGGATTGCAGCACGCCCCGTGCAAGTGAAACCAGCCCCCCCCAGTCCTAATGGACTCCCCTGCCATGTGATGGGAGGGCAAACCCTATAAAAGCAGGCTGCTTTCTCTCCTTCTCTGTTCTGTCTCTATGACCCCTGTGGGGTGGCGTGGGGTGGTGGGGGCGGACGGCCTGTGAGGGTGGGCAGCGTGGGTGAGGTTGGAAGGAAGCTGCTGTTGTGCAGCAAGGGACTAGCAATAGCCGGGCAGGGCATGAGGATACTCAGCTCCACGCACACACGCGGAGGTCAGGCCTGCTCAGGGCTTTACAGTGCTCAGCAGCATGCACGCGTACATAGCCAGGTCTGCTCCGGGCTTTGCCATGCACACGCATGTGCATGTGTGCTTAGCTCCATGCACACGTATGCAGGCCAGGTCTCTGCTCAGGACTTTACAGCGCACTGAAAAGCAGCGAGTGGTGGCGTGCAGAGGAGGACGTGTCTGCTCTAGCATCGCTGAGTGCCGACCGACTCCTCCAGGGCGCACAGGCCAGCCCGTGGGCTTGCTGCTGTGGTGCTCAGGGGCTAGGATCGTACCCTGACAAGTAGGGAGCCTGCGCCAACCAGGCGGCAGTTGCAGCCCTCTCCCAGAGCAGTACCATGGCTGGGGACAGGCTGGAGAATGGCCAGGGTGAGGCAGCGCTGCCCCAGCGCAGCGATGATGGGAGGGGAATGTTGTCCTCCACCCCCCGCTCTGCCTGCTGCTCCCTCCTTGTAGGGCCCCCGGGTGCAGGTGCCTGCTGCAAGCCTTAGTGGGGTGGGGGGGCAGGACCGGTGGCACTGGGTGCTGTGCAGGGAGAGCTGGCCTCTCCCCCACCTGGCAGGACAGGCAGGGCTGGGCCGGCCGTGATCCGGGACAGCAAAGACAGTAGATGCTTGGTGCAGCCGTTCCCTTTATTGCTCAGGCTAGCAGCCCCGGGGCGGAGCAGCCGAGGAAGGGGGGACCCTGGCACCTTCCGTCCAGGATAGGGGTCTCCTGGGTCACGCTGCGCCTGAAAACAGGAGAGGGTTGGAGGAGCTGAGGGCTCCCTGCCCGGCCCTGGCTGCAGGGCACAGGCCTGTTCTGCCCCCACCCCGATCCCCCCCACGGGGAAGCACGGTCCCGCGGGCAGCCCTTCCTTGGCTCTCTGACAACGTCCGCAACGTGCAGCCAGCGCTTGCACCTCACCGACCAGCGGTTCTCGACTCAAGACCCCTTGGCAAATGCCAGCTCTTATCTTTCACTTGTTTTTTGACTGCAGGAAAACACCAGCTCAGTTCTTCTGTTGCCAAGTGCTCAGAAAGGCCGCAGCAGGAAAGACTGGTTTTAACATCATGAAAATTGCTGGGCTGGAAATCTTTGGGCTCATCTTCTGAATCATGGGGCTGGCAGGGATCTCCAGAGGTGACCTCTAGTCCAACACCTGCCTGAGGCAGGATCAGCCCTCTCCAAACCATCCTCCATAACCCACACTTTTCATAAAACTGCTGTCAGCCCTGCTGCAACACACAACACGCGACTGTATTTGTCCAGCTTTGGGACACGACACGTAACACCTGAAGCTGCTGCAGGGAAAGCAGGGGACCACAACAGCCAAGATCCTGCTGGGATAAAAGCTAGTTCATGTATGCTCGAGAGACCCCAGGCAGAGGGCCCTGCCGTCCCGCTGCAAAACCCCCCAGTCCAGAGCAATCAGACCAGGGGGTGAAATTCCTTCCTGCCCCAAATCTGGCCATCGGTCTGACCCTGGGCAGAGCAGCAAGAGCCTCCAGCTTTGGTCCCAGCAGGAGCGTTGGCACAGCCCAGTTAAAATCCCCAGCCTGGGCTATGGCCTCTCAGCGCTGCGTGGTATCCTGCAGCACCCTGCAAGGGTCTGAGGCACCCCGGGTTGACAATCCCTGTCCTAGGCTAGCTACGGCAAGATGCACCAGCGCGGGCTGCGGACGCGCTCTCAAACCCAGCCCCGTGCTCAGCAGCGGGAGGGTAGCGGGCATTACACAGGGCATTGCCAGCGGAAGCAGAGATTGCCCTCAGGGCGTGGGGTACACCCCCAGCGCGCCCCCCGGCCCCAGGAGGAGACAGCAGAGTGAGGCAGGGTCCGCCGAGCCGCGCAGGGTCGGGCAGGGCAGGCTTCGTACAAGGAGGGGCCCAACAGGCTGGGGCTCTCCAGCTTGGAGGTGAGCCGACGGAGGGGGTATGGGAGCGGTGCAGAGCCAGCGGATAGGGCGTGCTGTTTGCCACAGCAGGTCCCAGCCGCGCGGACCGCCAGCTCCTAGCTTTCACTCTGCTTTTGGCTGCGGGGGCCAGCGTACCCTTGCGCACGGCCACGCACTCCCAGGCGCAGCCGGTGTCGCAGCACTTCTCGTGTCCCTGGCATATGCTGTCCTCCAGGCACTGGTTGTGGTGCCTCTCCTCCGGGGTGCTGCAGGCTGACGGCTTGGGGCACACGCCGGGGTGCTCTGGGATACGGGGAGGGAGACGATGATCCTCTGCCCCCACACCCCCTGTGCTCAGGCTGGACAGACCCCCGGGCAAGGCTGGCAGGCATGGGGCCGCCCCCAGCTCTGAACGCCTGGCACGGGCATGGGGGCGCCTGCCCCTGGAGATGGGGGAAGCGGGCAGGGCAGCGGTACCTCTGCTGCGGCGAAGGCAATGCTGGAAGCAGCCGCCGAAGCAGCACTTCTCCTGCTTGGGGCAGTCCCGGTCGTGGGTGCACGTGTCGTTCCCCTCACATGGCACCAGTGTCTGCCAGGGCCTGACCTTGGGGCACTCGCCCGGCTTGGCTGCAGAGAGACGGGGGTCAGGAGCGGCTCGTTAGCATTGCCCTCCCCTCCCTTCCCCTCCCCTCCCGCGGACGCATCTCCCCTCCACAGCCGCAGCCTGGGCCCTGCCCCTGGGGGGCAGGGGGCTCCACGGGGCCGGTTACCTCGATCGGGGGCCAGGCACGTCGGGCCGCAACTGCTCTGGCAGCACTTCCTATCCCCTGGGCAGTCGTCGTCCTCCCCGCACGGGTGTGTGCACGGGGCTGTTGGGGCGGCCAGCGGGCAGATGCCAGGCTTCTCTGGGGAGCAGCAAGCAGAGAGTCAGGGGCCAGGGGCCAGCCACAGCCCCCCAGCTCTGACACAGGCCCAGAGCAAGCTCAGCCCGTGCTAAGATGGGGTGACCCTGGGGCCCGTGTGTCTGCCCTCTGTTCTGCCACGCGTCTTAGGGGATGGGTGAGATCTTGTGCCCGGGACGACTCCTCACCCATAGCCAGCCTTCGCCTCCCTTACCCCAGCCCAGCCCAGCACAGCTCCATGGAGGAAGCTCTGCTGCTCTTTGGGGGCATCACCTTGGCATTGCAAAAACCCCTAAGCAAAGCAGCTTCCCCATTCGGAGGAAGACAAAGCCCAAATGGGCCTTTCCATCCTTTGCCCCGTAGACCCTGATGAGACCCGTGCGTCTGGGCCCCAGACCTGCCTGGAGGGCACGGTGCCCGTGATGCCCTCCTCTTACCTTTGGAAGGGGTCATGCACTTGTAGTCGCAGCCCTGGAGGCAGCACTTTTCGTCCCCGGGGCACTCGCCGTCCGCTCGGCACGTGGCTTTGCAGTTGTAGGTGAAGTAGAGCCCGGGGGTGATGGAGCAGTAGCCGCGCTTCACTGAGACAGGGCAGACAAGGGCAGGGCAGGTCAGCGCCACGGCGAACAGACCCGGGCACCAGCAGCTTGGCCTCAGGAGGGTGCCGAGGGGACTCACGCGAGCTCTGGTCCACGCACTCCCGGCGGCACCGCAGGCTGCAGCACTTCTCTCCCCGGGCGCAGTCGTGGTCATAGAGGCATCGCCGCTCGCAGCCCCCCGCCACGGGGACGGGGCCAGGGCCAGGGCTGGGCTCCTCTGCACCGCAGCACACGGCAGGGGCAGGGCGTGAGCAGGGCCGGGCGTAACGGGGTCACCCCAGCACCTGCTCCCCTGCCCAGGAGAGCCAGCGGCCGTCCAGCCTCTCGCGGTTGCTCCTGCCCCTGCCCCTGCCCCTGCCCCTGCCCAGGGGCAGTTGTGGCTGCTGTGGCATCTCTGCACCCTGGCGACCCCGGCACCGTCCCGCTCCTCCACCGCTGTCCTGCCGGGCCCCTCACCCTGGCCCTCGCAGGTCTGGACGCACTCCTCCCGCGTGCGGAAGTTGTTGGCGTTCCCGCGGCAGCCGCTGTAGAGGAAGTCCTGGCACCGCGCGGCCGTGGCGTTGAAGAAGAACCGGCGGGAGTAGGCGTCGCAGAGCCCCTTCTGCACGGGGAGCTGGCACGTGTCTGTGGGCACCGAACAGGCCCTGCATGGGACCCCGCCGGCCCCACCGGGGGGCTGCAGCCCGGTGTCAGTCCCAACCGAGTTAATGCTGCTGCTCCCTGCCCCCAGCCCCTCCCGCCGTCTCTGTCCCCGTGCGGCCCCCCAGCACCGCCCTGGCCCCCCAGCATGGCCTCGACAATGTAAGCGTTGCCCCTGGGCCAGACCGATGGTCCACGAGCCCGGCGCCCGGTCTGCCACAGCGGCAGTGCGGCAGGCTTTGGAGCGCGGGTGTCTCCAGTGATCTGCCCCTTTCCAAACTCAAGAGTCCCAGCCTTTATCCTGTCCTGGCCTGGCAGCTGCTCCAGCCCCCCTGATCCTTTTCGCTGCCCTTCCCTGCACCTTTCCGAAGCTCAGACCCAGGGATCCGCTCTGCCCCGACCACCCCGCGGCACGGCCCCTCATGCTGGGCAGAGCCCTGGGCTGGGCGCTGGCTCGCAGCCCCTGGGGATGCCTCACCCGGCGCTGGCTCCAGGCAGGCGAGGCCACGCTGGATGTGGCAGCGCTCTGCGCTCCCTGGGCAGTCCTGGTCCCTGGAGCAGGGATCCAGGGTGCCTGGAGGGGCTGGGCCAGGCAAATGCAAGATGCCAGGGGTCACGGGCAAGGATGAGCAGGGGCTGGTGGGGTGACACCCCCCAGGAGCACGGGGCAGCCCGCGCGCTGCACCACTTCCATCCGTCTACACGGCTCCTGCTCCCTGCCCTGCCCCTGCTCCATGCCCGGAGGCCAGGAGGGCATCGCACCCCTGAGCTCAGAGGAGCACCCCCACACAGCCCAGCAAGGGCTGCACTGATACAGGGTGCTGTCGCTTGCTATAACACCTCTCCCTGCTGGGGGTAGGCGGGGGGGACACACTCAGGACCACCGAGGGGCCTGGCGGAGGACGTGGAAGCGGCCATGGGCACCTCCTGGCAGGACGCAGCGGAACTGGCACGCCTTGTAGCAACACTTCTGCATCTCCGGACAATCGGCATCGACCTGGCACAGCGGGGGGAATGACCGGATGCACCGGATCGGGTCAGCGGGGCAGGTCCCGGGCTTCTGTGGCTTCCCTGCACCAGAGACGTGGCACCGTGGAGAGCCTGGCACATGGCTGCGTGCGCGACAAAGCCTGCCAGGGTCCCCAGCAGCATGATGCATGCGCAGCCCATGGCTGGGGGCCTGCCCAGCGAGCCCAGGGAGCTGGCTCTGGGCTGGAAAGCTCTGCCTCTGGATCGGGGTGCACCTTTCAGCCCCACCTCCTTGGCACCATCCTCCCTGTGCGCATGGAGAACCAGCTGCCCTGGCACCTCCATCACTGCAACCTGGGGTCCCGCTGAGCTGGGGAAGACCCCGCTGATTCGTGGTGGGGGGAGAAATGGGCTGGCTGGGTCCCATCCCTCCTTACCATCAGCACCACCTTCCTGCTGCCCGCTCCAGTCCCCTCCAGTGGGCGCGGGGGACTGGGCGATGCTGCGAGCGTCCCACTGCGGGTCCACGCACTTGAGGCCGCAGCCAGTGAAGCAGCACTTCTGGTTCCTGGGGCAGGTCCTGTCGTCCTCGCAGCGGCTCTGGCAGGGTCTGGAGCTTGGGTGCACCATCACCTGTGGGCACGTGCCCGGGCGGGCTGGAAGAGCGAGAGGCAGGGCCGTGGCTTCTGGGCACTGTCGTCTAACCAGCGCCCTCCACAGCGGCAGGCTGTTGGGCCACGGTGCGGCCCGGAGCAGCTGTCTGTGGCCCTGGACCGGGAAGAGACTGGAGAGCATCTGGAGCGCAGTTGGCCCCTATGCGTTGGGGTGGGGAAGGCGGCTTCCCCGTGTGATTGTGCCATGGCCAGCACCGCTGGATGGCCGCAGAGCCTGCGCTGCCAGCCCGATTTGGGTCACGGGGTCCCGGTGACCGTGTGCACCCGCGAGCCGGGCCGGAGGGAGGACGGCTGCTGCCGGCGCTGCCCCCACCCCCACGCAGCCCGACACGCAGCACTTCTCGCCCGGCCCGCACTCGGTGTCGTTCACGCAGTTCACCAGGCAGGTGGTCACCAGGCCCGGCTCTGGCTTGGGGCAATACCCCAGGTGCACTGCGGAGCAAGGAAAGGCCCCAGGCAGTGATGGACTCGTCCTGGGGGCCGTTCTGCTCTCGGAGCTGGCGCTGTGAGGTCACGTGAACGGCCGTGCAGGTCTGTGCGGCTGCAACCCGGGGGCACTCGCAGTGTCTCCCAGAGCAGCGAGGACAGACGGAGCACAGCCGTGCTGCCGACCCTCAGCCTCCTTGCCAGGCTCCGGGTGTAACCGGTGGGGGGGGACCGGTGCAACCCACGGCCCAGCTGCTGTGGCCTTGCGGCCGCCATCCCAAACCCTGAGCCTTGTGCCCCGAGACGGGTCTGGCGGGGTCTGCACCCCTCCTTCCCGTCCTGGCCCGGGGAGATCTTTGCTGCTCCGTGACCCCTGGGGCACGGTGGTGTGGCAATACCTGGGTTACGTCACGGGCAGCCGGGGAGGACGACCAGGTGCTCAAGGCTGAAGCCCTGGCAGGACACCATGGTGCCGCAGCCAAGTTCATGGCCAGAGGGCAGCAGCTGCAGCAGGGGTCTAGCCCCCGGGGACTGGGCGCACGTGGTACTGGGGCCAGCCAGGGCTGGGCAGCATCTGTGTGGGAGCCGGGGGGTCTGACAGCGCGGCACCCCCAGGTCTGCTGACAAGTTGCTGGCTGGGCAAAGAGGCACTCGGGGATAGACACCCTCCCTCAGGGTCCTGCGAGGAGCATGGAGCCCAGGTGCCCCGGCCCCCGCGGCCGCGTGGCATGTGCCTGGCTCGGCGTCACCAGAGGGAGGTGACGGAGCAGCCGTGCACGCGCCCCGCAGCCCTGTGTCCTGGGGCTCCCCGGGGTGCCTCCCTCCACACCCCCAGGCGCGGGGACAGACCTGTGGGAGGGAGCACGCAGGCTCTCATGCCCCCGTCGCTGCAGCATTTCTCCATCCCGGGGCAGGACTCGTCCAGGAGGCAGTAGAGGCAGGACGGGCTCCTGCCCTCCTGGCTGTCTGGGGGGCACTCGCCCCGCTTGGTGATGGCTGGATGGGAGATAGGGCCCCTTTCACACCCAGGGGCTGGGGCTGCCCCCCGAGCCCGAGCACCATCATGGGGCCTGTGCCAGCCCCGCTGCCCCAGGTACCCCCCGGCACTCACCCCCCTTCTCATTGTCTGGCGCGGTGCTCAGCTCTGCCCGCTGGGCCAGGACCCCGGCGAGGAGGAGGAGGAGGACGGTGCCTGACTCCATGGCTGCACACAGCAGTCTCTGAGCTCCCGCAGCTGAGCGGGGCGGTATTTATCCCCCGGGGTGGGGCGGCAGGGCCGGGTCAGGTGCATGTCAGCGGTGCGGTGCCAGCCAGGGGCTGCAGCTTATCTGCTGGGAACAGCCTGTACAGGGCAGCGTGACCCCGGGGGCTTGGCGCAGGCTGCAGGGCTGCGGCTGGGGCCTTGCTCGTGCATCTGAGGGTCACCATCAGATCTCGCAGGAGCTGGGGTCCTGGGGACGCCACCCCTGCTGTCCCACCCCCCTGAGGTGACCTTGACCTTTCTGTGCTGATCCGACGGGGGTGTCCTGGCACCGGTGCAGCCCCAGCTGAAGGGGTGCCTGCTCTTGGTGCCCAGGCAGCTCCTCCCAGCTGCAGTCCAGCCCCCCAGCTGATGCTCCCAGTGCCCCCAGCCCCTGCCTGTCCTCCTCTCCCTGTTCCAGCCCCGTCGCCCTCTCTCCCAGGGCTCGGCGGGGGGGCTGCAGTGGCCCGTGTCCAGGGGCAGCACATGTTGCGTGGAGGGATCTCCAGCTGCCCCTGGTTTGGGCGGCATCAGTGCTGCCAGTGCCCCCCCGAACACTGCCAACCCCAAGACATAGCACGCAGAGAAAGCCCATCACAATAACCACAGGAGATGCGGCTGCCACGTGCCCAGCGTTTATTCCTTGTGCTCAGCCTGGAGGCGAATGGCCACGTCTCCAGCAGCCGTGGAGTTCAACCACGTGAATACTCAAGCCGCAGAGGCCGCGGATGCTCTGGGTTGCGAGGGGCAGGTCTGACCCATGCCCCGTGCCCCATGGGGGTGTCAGACCCCCGGGCACAGCATGGAGCCTGGAGGGGCAGCAGCCACGGCAGAAACCCCCTTCCCCCAGGCAGGGGCTGGAGGGTGCAAGAGCCAGGGAGACGTCCTGGAGCCGGCCGCTTCCCCAGGCCAGGACTAGGCTGGGCCTGGAAGAGAAGGAGCCAGGGTCAGAGCCAGGTGTGCCCTCCTCCCCCGGTGATGGAGACGTGGGGAAGCCACTGACGGACCAGGACGTGCCCCGGTGAGCAGCTTGAGCAGCCCTGGCTTCACGTGGGCCCTTGCGAGCAGTCCCCATGGCCATGACTTCTGCCCCTTGCCCCAAGCTGCCTGCGGAGGGGTGGCTGTAGCCCCCATGGGCAGAGGCCCCGGTGCCTGGGTGGGCAGCAGGTACCTGCAGGGGTATCTGCAGAGGGAATGGCTGCACGTGGCATTACTTGCCCCACTGCCCGGCCTGGCTGTGGTTGCAATGTGGGCAAGGGGCCAGCTTGGGCTCGACCTGCGTGGAGCACGGCAGGCATCACTGGAGAGGGCACAGCTGGGGGTTGGGCGGTCCATGTAGCCGTCCCTGCCACCGGGACCCTGCGCCCGGCGCGACGGGGGTAGAGGGTGAAGGAGGGACGAGAGAGGTGCAGAGAAGGGCCACGGGGTGATGGGTGGTGCGGAGACGCTGCTGCATGAGCGGAGACTCCCGGGGTCAGGCCTGTTCTGTTCAGAAAAGAGATGCTGGAGGGGCATGAAAAGGGTTCCCAAGACATCGAATGGGGAAGAGAAAGCCAGGAGGGATTTATTAGTATTGCCTCTCTCGCCGGACAAGAACGAGGGTCGCAGCATGGGACAGCAGCCCGGCAGTTTATAGCTAACGCCGGGCAAGTTGTTCTCCCTCGGCGTGGCATTAAAGGTGGGACTCGTGGCCACCAGATGTGGTGGGGGAACTGGACCTGTGCTTGGCAGAAAGGGCATCGGTCGCTACTGCGCAGGGAGAGGGGCACGGCCCCTGCATCAGAGCGCCCTGGACCTTAAATGCTGGAGGCTGCAGGGGAGAAAGGAGCAGGGAAAGCCCTGCTCGGACCCAGTCCCTCTCCCTTCCAGCCTCTGCACTCTGCCGCCGTGCCGGAGAGGGGCCCAGACGGACCCGGGGTCCGCCCCAGTCCGTGGCAGCCCTGACGGTCCAAGGAGCCACACCTGTCTCGGGAGGGGTGCACGTCCGGGCGCAGCCGGCCAGGCAGCACTTGCGCCTGCCCGGGCACTCGGCGTCCGTGTGGCACTCGGCCGTGACGTTCCCCAGGCACACGTGCGGCGTCCATCGGCACCTGCCCGGCTTCTCTGCCAGGGCGAGAGCGGGGAGAAGAGCGTGAGCGTGCCAGCCCCCGCTCCGTGCCGGCCTGGTCCGTCCCCCCCGGGTAGCTCCTTACCCTGCACGACGGGGGGGACGCAGGCACGGCCACAGCTCAGCAGGCAGCACTTCTCGCCCGCCGGGCACTCGCTGTCCTGGCCGCACAGGAGGGAGCAGTCCTCGGCCTCGTCCTTTCTGGCAGGGGCAGGGCAGAGCCCGGGCCGCACTGGGCAGGCGCAAAGAGATGGCGTTAAGGGGGCTGCAGGGAGGTGGGCGCTGGGCTCGGTCCTGCTCTGGGCACCCGCAGCCCTGGCCTGAGTGGGCACCTGGGTCACTCATCTCTGCCCCCTGCATCCAGTGCTCAGCCTCCGGGGGCCTGTGAGACCCCCAGACTCCCTGCATGGACCCCCTCCCCTCCCTACCCTGGGGCCCACCGCCCTTACCCGCAACGGGCAGCTTGCAGATGTGGCCGCAGCTGGTGCTGCAGCACTTCTCCGCCCCGGCGCAGTCCCCGTCGCTGCGGCACGTCTCCATGCAGGGCCCAAGGGAGCCTCGCAGGAGCAGCGGGCAGGCGCCCGGCTTGGCTGGCCCGCCGGGGTCAAGGCGTGGCGGGGAGCCACGACACCCCCCTCCTCGGCCCCCGGAGGGGTGAGGGAGGTGCAGGGAAAGTGGTCGAGCTGGGGCCACGGGGACACGGCTCTCTGCCGCTGCTGGGCCCTGTCCTGCCCCCCACACCTAGCACCTGTCCTGGGGGATTCCTTCCTAAGCAGGGCTCCTGGAGGGGCACTGATGCCATGTGGGAGATGGAGGGGAGTGGATGTGTCGGGGGGTCGGTACCTGAGTGCGGAGCTTGGCAGCGGTGGCCGCAGCCGGTATCACAGCACTTCTCGTCCCCCGGGCACTCGGAGTCGTCCAGGCAGGCGTCCAGGCATGGCCCCCTGGGCGGCGCCGTCGGCACTGCCGGGCACTCCTCCGGCTTCTCTGCGGGAGAGACACTTGCTGCCAGGGCTGGGAACCTCCTTCTCCTGTGCCAGCCCTCCCCGGGTCAGCCGTCGTGCATGCACACGCGTGTGCAGGCCCATGCACCAGGGGGAAGGGTGCAGTGCCTGTAGCAGGATCTGAGCCCAGGGTGCTGGGGTGAGGGCAGCGCGGGCAGCCCCGTCGGTACCTTTGTAGGGGCTCACGCAGCCCAGTCCACAGCCGGTGAAGCAGCATTTCTCGTCCCCAGGACAGGTCCTGTCGTCCTTGCACCGGCTGGGGCAGGGGGCGAAGTCTGGGGAGGCTGGCTTCCGAGGGCAAACGCCGGGCTTGGCTGGGGGGAGACGGCAGCTCTGGGTGCGGCTCGGCGGACCCCCACTCCCTGCCAGCCACCTGGTCCCCACCAGCCCTACCTGGCTCGGGGCAGTGGCAGCGAGCACAGCAGCCCTCAGCGCAGCACTTCTGGCCCCCGGGGCACGCCGTGTCGTTGGAGCAGCTGGCCGCGCAGCTCCCCGCCCCCACCTCCTGCGGGCCGGACCGTGGGCAGTAGCCTGGGGACACTGCACAGCAGAGACACGGGCTGCAGCCCCAGCTCCAGCCCAGCCCTCGGGGCCTGCCCCTGCACTGGGTCACCCCTTGGCACGCGGGACCACGGTCTGCACAGCCCCCATCGGGGGAGACCTCTGAACAGACCGTGGGTCGCATGTAGGTGCAACGTGGTTGTTCGTGCCCTGCCTGCCCCGGTCCTGGGCTGCGCTGGGCACTGAGAGCGGGCACGAAACCCCCTGCCGAGGTCCCAGCCCCACCCCCCGTGCCTGGGCCAGCTCTGACCTGACCTGGAGCAGAAGGCAGGGAGCCCGCTAGAGCGGGCAGGAGGAAGGCAGGGGGTCTGCCCATGACATACACCCTAGGGGCATGAGCTTGGGGTGCCATCCTGCACCCCCGCCGTGGGAGCTGGGCGCCGGCAGCAGCACGTACCGGTGGCAGGGAGCAGGCAGGCTCGCAGGTGCTCCCTGCTGCAGCACTTCTCGGCCCCCGGGCAGCTGTGGTCCGAGAGGCAGTAGACCCTGGAGGGAGGCACGGCCTTGACCTCGCCAGCCGGGCACTCTCCTTCTTTACCTGCAGCAGAGACAGGGCACCAGAGTGGGGCTGTATCCAGCCCGGGCCTGGGGAGGACAGGGGTGCAGCTGAGAGGACAGGCTGGGGACGAGGGGGCAGCCCCGCTCTGTGCTTACCTCCGTCGTCCTGCCCCGGGGCGCCCGGCAGCTGAGCCCAGAGGATGAGGAGCCCCAGGAGGAAGGTGATGCCCGCTGGCTCCATGGTGCTGCGGGAGCTGGTCTGGAGCCTGGGCCGTGCCACCCGGGATTTAAACCCTCGCCCAGGCGGGGGGAAGGTCCGGCTCGTAGGTGGACAGCAGCCCTGCCACCTTGCAGCATGCCAGCTCCAGGTGCCAGCCCCGGGAGGGCCAGGCCGTGGGAGAGCTCCGCGCTGCCGGCAGCTGGAGGCTGGGGGAAACCCGGGAGGTGCTGGGCTCGTGGCCCACAGCTCCGGGGCTTCTCCGGGTCATGCAGTGGCGGGGGGGCTCCCAGCTGGGCCTGGGCGTGGGGCCGTGCCCGGCTCTGCTGGCGGCACCCGTAACCCGATGTCTGGCCGTTCTCCTTGGACACAGGACCCATTCCCTGGGTGAAAGCAGTCTGGTGCAAATTCCCCCAGTCCGGCATTCGAGGGCAGCGACCACTTGGCACCAGCCCCTTGCCCTGGCCGCTCTGCGGGGTCCTGGCCGCTAGCAGGGTCTGCCCGTGGATGGGTGTGAGCATGTCTGAGAGCCCAGCCCGCCTGGCCCTGCTGGGACCCGCCGCGAGCAGCCAGCTGCACCCCACCCCGGGACCCCCGCGTGGGCCGGGCCGCATTGCAGAGATGCCGCAGGGAGGGGACGGAGCCCCTTCGCCTCCAGCCAGCGCCAGCTGTGACTGCGCGGTGATCTCCGCGAGGGGTCGAACGTGGCGGTCCGGGCAGGCCAGGCCTTGCCTGCCCAAGCCCACCGCCGGGGCCCCCGGCTCTGGAGAGCGCTCGGGGCGGCCGGGGGCCTTGCAGGTGCCCGCTGCCGGAGGGGAGGCTCGCTGCACGGCAAGAGAGGGTGTGGGAGCCGGTGCCTGGGAGCAACCTGCCTCCCCCCCTGCCAGCCGCGGGGGGCCCACACCAGACCGCTCGCTCGGGGGGTGGGCGCGTCCCGGGAGCCAGCTGGCAGCCGGATCCTGCCCCCTGCCCAGGCTGCCGGAGCCCTGCACAATGGGCACATCCGCCCGTGATGCCGGCGCGGGCTGCCGCACAGCGGGGCACGGCTGTGGCCACCTGTGCCCGGCGGTGCGTGGCATGACAGCGTGGGAGCGGGGCAGTGGGCCCGTCTCCCTGCCGCGACCCCTCACTCGACCCCCAGCGCTGCCACGGGGTGGGGCGGCGTCTCCGTCAGGGGAGCTGAGTGCCCTGCGGAGGTGTCCGGACGCTCCCGGCACAGCCAGCCCGTGCCACGGGGGCCGGAGCCAGGGCCCAGCTGGGGCGTCTGTGCCGGAGGAGGGAGGAGGCACCGGCTGCCTGGGGCTGTCTAAGGAAACATTAACCAGAGAACAATGCTGCGGGCCGGCCGGCCCTGGCAACGGGGCAGAGAGCCGTCACCAGCGCCGGCTCCGACAAGCCACACCGGGCAGCCTCGGTGACCCTTGCTCCGAGCCCGGGCTCAGGCGCTGCCTCCTGCAGACACTCGTGCTGCCCCTCGCAGGGACCCTTCCCCGCCCCGTCTGCTCTTCCTCCTGCCCCAAGAGCTCCTGCTTGCTTTAGCCCCCAGGACTACGCTGGCTGCCGGCCTGGGCCACGAGCCAGAGCCCCTCTGCCCCTTGCTTGTTGGCAGTGGTCAGTGGGTCTGTCTCAGCCGCTCCTCACCCACGCCCCGGGCTCCTGCCCTTTCCCCATTGGCAACTGCACTGACACAAGGCTGCGCTGGCTGCTTTCCAGAGCCGGGACCGCAGCTTGTCTCCCAGGCACAGGGCTGGCCCAGCTCTCAGCCAGCCCACGCGGGAGCAGACACTTCAATGCCATCCCGGAGGAGGCAGTGGCCCAGCCCAGCCCCGGAGCAGGAGGAAATGCAGACGCAGGCGGTGCTGTCAGGGCTGTGGGAGAGGCTGCTTTATTGGCAAGAGTGCACAGGGCTCCAGCGAATGCCCAGGACGGGGCCAGGACGGGCGCTCTGCGCAGCAAGCGCCAGCGGCCGGGATGGGACCCGGGGACCCCGTGCAGGGAGGGCCATAGCGGAGCAGCTTTCCTTCACCGGGGCGGAGGCTGGCAGGTCCAGGCAGCACCTGCAAAGAGAGCACAGAGCTGAGAGCAGGCTTTGGTGCTGACCCCGGGGCAGCTGGGTGCAGGGCAGGGGATCGGCAGGGACCCCTCGCACTGCGGGAGCTCTGGGCGCTCGGGCAAGGGGGCGGTGGGAGGGTGCGGGTCCCAGCAGCCTGCTCCATGGGTGTCAGGTGGGGTCAGCTGGGGCATGGCCGTGGGGGGGCCTTGCCCACACATGCTCTGCTCCACCCCGGGGCCCGGGGCCAGGCAGGTGGGGTGGGAAAGAGGGTGTCCCGGGGCCACGCATGCACCTTAGAAGACCGGCAGCACGCAGGACATTCTGCCGCAGCCGTTGGTGCAGCACTTGAAGCTGCTGACGCAGTGGGAGTCCATGCTGCACTGGTTGTGGCACAGCCCCAGCATGGGGATCCCCGGCTTCATCTCCGGGCAGTTGCCGGGCTTCGCTGGAAGGGCAGAGGAGACACGGTGTGAGCCTGGGAGGTGGGCACCGTGCCCTGGGCACAGAGGCCGTCAGGGAGTGTGTCCTAGCCCCAGCCAGGGCACAGCCACCCCGTGCCCCTCGGGCCCACGCACCTCCCGAATGGCCCTTGGGTTGGCCGAGACCTTGGGCTGGGCAGGGGCAGGATGTCGGGGCGGGTGCTGAGATGGGAGCTTTGTGCTGGGCCCAGTGTCGTGGGGAGGAGCTGGGCTCCATCCGCCAGCCAGCTGCGCCGGCTCTGGGGGCCTGCGACCTGCAGCGGGGCCGGCGGGTCCCTGCCCAGGGAGTCAGCACCTCTCAGGAGGGGGAAGGAAGTGGAGCGGGTGCTCGAGCCCTGCGCTGCTCGGAGCTGCAGGCCCAGCGCCAACAGGAAACGTCTGCAGCAGCTCCTGCCAACCGCAGCTCCGCCAAGGGGAAGGGGCAGCGCGGGGCGCGCCGGGAGCAGAGCCTTCCTCGTCTAGTGCAGGACAAAGGGGTGCAGGCTGCAGGGACAGGGCCTGGCCGCTTCCGGGCCCCCCGGGGCCCCGCTGCCTGCAGCACTGACGTCACACGGCCTGGCAGCTCGCCCGCTGTTTGCTTTGCCAGCGCAGCCTGCTCTCAGCACCGCGCTGTTTGCTCCGGAGGAGTCACGTCCCAGCAAGCTGTGCGCTTGCCCCGGCCCAGCCGCTGCGGGCCCCAGTCTGCGCCTGGCCCCGTGATCTGGAGGGCTGCAGGGAGACCATGCACCAAGCTGGTCACCGCAGCTCTGCACCAACATGCTTGGCCAGCCCAGCCCAGCCGTCCCCAGGTCAGAATCAGCTCCAGCCCCAAGAGGGCCAGAAGGACTGGGAGCCGGAGTCGCTGGCCTCAGCTGGCCATCGCTCGCTGGGGCGGGAGCCAGTGTAGGCATCTTGCTGAATGCACCCCGGCCCCTGGACCCTGCCCGGTGCTCTCGGCCGGCTGCCGGTAGCGGACGAACACCGCTGCTGCGTGCTGACGGGCTGTGAGCAGCTCCTGCAAACTCTTTGGTCCACATGAGGACGTGCCCAAACCACCCCACTGAGGCTGCTTTGCAGGGTCCCTCTGTGTGCCCTCGTGGCCAGCCACGTCCAAGGCCGGTGTCACCACGGAGCCAGGAGCCGGGTCCTCATATAC